AAGTTTCATCTTGTCCATAACTGAAACTGTCTAGCCAGTTTAATTAATTTCTTTGTATCTTGTAAATGGTGACTACCTTTGTTTTAACAAAAACCACACTTTTCAGGATTTTAAAAAAATATTTCGGAGAAACTGATTTTATTATTTTCAGAGATTTGTTTTTGTACTGTCAGGTTTCATTAAAATTAAATAACATGCAACAGGCTACTTGTATTGCAGGTGAAAAATGTCTGGAATCATTCCTTCATGTTAAATATAACATTCCACTCAGAATCATATCTTTAATTTTGGACTGGTATGAAATGTTACAAGATTCGACAGGCTCAGTAGGTTGCTGTTCCTGCGTGTGTTAGGCAAGCCTAAAAACAGAGAGTGGAGAGGATGGGAAACTAAAAGGAAATCTGTTACCTTGGTGCTTCTTCAATGACTTTTTGATTTCGCCTCTGGATACTACATTCCCTCTCATTTAAGTATATAGCATTACCATGTTTATCTCCTAGAACCTATAAAACAACACAGTTTAAAGTGTAAAACTGTTTGCTTATTAAACGTTCTTCACATATTGTTCAAAACTCAAAAGCCAAGCAGTTTTGAACAATTGGTAAAGCGCTTCAGAACAGATTCATCAGCCATAACACACAGAGATAGAAAAATGTAGAATTGTGCATGATGGATTAAAAATACAAAATCTGCAAAACATTCTTTCTTGAAAGTTAAAAACACGCTAAATATAATTTCTACATCTGAACTTCATATTAACCATTAACTTTATGTACCTGGATTTCTATATGTCTTGGCTTGTCAATGAATTTTTCAACAAGAATCCTATCATCTCCAAAACTTGCAGCAGCTTCTTGAGAAGCTAATCTAAAACCATCCCTGTAATAAATAGAAAAACATAGAATCAGTACCTGGTAGCAGAATTTGACTTAATTTTCTAATTCTAATTGCATGATTTGAACCGGCAGGATAATATTCTTAAAAGGTATATAAAACAATAGTTCTTTTAAATTGAATAGGCGCAATGGTATTGCTCACCAAGAAGCCAGCAATTCACAGAAGCTATCCTCGGACTAAAGATGTTCAAGATTTTTTGAAAAACCATTATAATGGTTTGTCAGACTAGATTATGGTAGGAGACCTCTTAATCCCATAGTGGGTAGTTAACTAAAGTGACTTGGAAATGTATGGTGATAGGAGGGTATAACCTGATATGTAATGATATAAGGTTATCATGAATCACAGTTAACTTTTTTTTGCCATTGAGGGTGTAATTTATTGTAGAGTTGCTCACATACATGTCCAAACTGCTTGTAACACAACTGTGGTCCCCCCGTCCCCCCATAAAAGACTAGTTAACACAGCTGTCTGGGTCGAAGGTTTCACCAAGACCTCCTGGCATGGGGAGCTGGGTTGGAGCAGTTTCTACACAGCTACCCCACCAACATCACCCAGCTTTCTCCACCGCTCAAATGTTAAGGCACTTTACAGTCCACATATCATGCACCTCTGGAAATTGTAAACCCAAACCTGGTTCCAAATGGGCAAATGTATGAGAATCCCTTGTAAGACCTCTGCTACCCTCAATGCCCTATTTTTCCTGGGCAAGAGCCCAATTGTGCTACTTCGCGGTTGTACAATTTTATTATGGGCATTAAGGAAATCAACGTCTCAATCTGTTTGTAATAAAGTAACTTGCACAAAGCACAGATGCAGTGCCTGTCTTACAAGGGCTGAGACAGTCCATCTCAATCTACGAGATATTAACTGGTATCAGGAACATTTCATTAACCAAGCAACTACGCTGAAGTTGTAATGCTTTTATTTCTGTTTTGGCGGTATTTCTTTTGAGAATTGATCAGAGGTTATCTTGTCTGAGATTTTTCAAGCAGTTCCAGCAGACATAAAAGCAAATCAGAAAGTAAAATTTCACATATATTCATATTAGAACATGTTAAAATAAATAGAGTTTAGTGAAAATGATATATCCCAAACATGAAGAGTAAATTTATAGTATATAAAAATATATATATATATTTCAAATTTTATGGATCTTAAAATAATTTTTCAGGAATCATTTAAATACCTTGCATCATCATCATTTCTTGCAATTCTCATTCCTTTACCTCCACCCCCAGCAGATGCTTTGATCATAACAGGGTAACCAATTGATTTTGAAATCTGGACGCAGTGATCTGCATCTTTAACTATGCCATCAAAACCTGCAATCAAACACGTAAAATACACACACAAGGAAATAAACATATAACAATAATTTCTTGTGCCTGTTTTAAAAATTAGAATAATTATGACTGTTTTATATTCTTCTGGGATGCATTTATATTTCTGACAGATGCTGAATAACACCTTTTGATCTGTATTTTTTTAACTGTTCTACAACACTCAACAGTTCTCGTTCTGTGACTAAATTTATACTGTCATCCAGGTTTGTAATGTTAATGTCCTGTTTTTCTCTTCTCCGTAGATCCTTATTATAAGTCTTCCCACTGTTCTATTGTAATTGCGTTTATATTTGTTACTTTTAAGTAATTCCTTCATAATTTTATAAACTCTTCTAGTCTTCCTTGCACATCAACTTCTATTTAACCAATATATCATTTCAGCTTTGTTGTTTAATTTCCAAACTCTCTTTGAAATGCTGGGAACATGGATGGGCTTTAAGTGGCAGCAATTTTATACCAGACTGTACAATAGCTTCAAAACAGTTTAACTGTTGTAATCAAATTAGGTGCCCCACCACCAGTTGACAGTAGCAATAAATACAGACTGGTTAAGGTCCTGAAAACTTGTTCAGTAATACAGCATTCTTTGCTAGTGTACCAATAGAGCTTACTTTTGTTATTAAACAAGATGACTTTCACATAAATCATGCAACTGATACAGGAATTCAATATTTCTTTAACTTTCTTCAGGTTACATAATTACATACATAATAAATCACTAAAAGAGTTTTCACCTGGAATAGTGTTCACCCCTGCAGCTTGAGCCAATCTTTTAGATTCCAATTTGTCCCCCATTCCATTGATTGATTCTACTGAAGGGCCAATGAAAGAAATTCCTGCAGCTTCCTGGAAAGTACTTAATTTCAATTGTGTGTGCATTCTAGTTGCTTCCTTTTACTATAAATGAATTATATGTGATTGGGAGAGGGTAGAAAGAACAGCAACAAGCATGAAGGTAAAATACTGTTCCTAGTTCTTTAACTAAATGTCAGTAAGAAGGAAACTCTTTTGACTATTTTGAGTGCATATTTGACTACTTCATCTTTAAAAACATGAAAGGTTTGCAGACTGAATCATAATTGAAACAGCTGTTAAAGTGACACTCTCAGCATGATTGTACCTCCATGAGTAGTTTAATTTATAATTGCAAAGTATGATTAAAAAATTTATAATGACATTTTATCATATTAAAATTTCATTTCTGCTTAACAATGATACAATCTCTTGAGATCAGGAAGATACTAGATGTAATTTTACTTATACAAATCCTTCACTGATACTACAGGGAACTCATTTGGTTCTTTGGCCACAGTCAGCGGTTTATATTCTTCCCTGCCAAACCATCGCTGCCTTCTTACTTGCACCTCATGTGTCCTTAAGGTCATGGTTTGATATTGCATAACAGATGATATGAATAATTCAGTTCTGTTCAACTTAAGACAAGTTCAAGTACAATGCTCAAATTAAATATTGTATTTAACAAAGTATTTCTGTATTCACCGTGTTGTAAATGTCACCAAAAATATTACAATGCTATGTAAAATAACAAGTTTTGTACAATATTGTTGGTGATGGACAAAAAGAAGCCATTCAAATTATATATGTTGACCAAACAGAAACTGGATGGCACTGATACCAAATTACAAGTCGTGTAAGATTAATTATGACATTTGATTCATCGATGTGATGTGTTAGAAAGCTCAGTCATTTTAAAACTAGACAGTAGAAGCTGTAAAACCATACAGAATGAGAAGCAAAAATCAGTACGACATTTCTCTCTGATAAGGTGTGGTTATTAGGTAAACAGTTGAAACAACCATGCCAAAGAGAAAGGTATGCCACATATTTCATGAAGTTAAGAAAGTAATTTGTTTATATATCTATAAGTAATGTATAAAGATATGAAGTTTAAATACATTATTACATTCCTTTGATCCGTAAGTTAGATGACAATAGGGTGTGGAATAAGTCATGAAAGGTACAAAATGTGTATGCAAGTGCAATTCAAACTTGTTATAAAATTTTCACATAGAATAAATAAAGATTTCACAGAAAGTAATGAATTGTTTCAAATAAATCCACACATATACAGCAAATTATATTACCTGAAGGCAAGAAAACCTTTAAAAACCTTAAGAGTAATTTTCAAGCATTAGAAATTCATCAACAGTGTAAAACAAGTGTGTACTGAGTAACTTCTTAATCCAGTACAAGAACTTACCAACTTTTCAACAAAAACTGCATTTTCAGAAAGAAATCCGTATCCAGGATGAACAGCTTGAGCACCTGTTTTTGTAACAGCTTCCATGATGTGATCAATATTGAGATACGACTCTCTAGTCACTGCAGGTCCTATGCAGACGGCTTCGTCAGCCAAGTGAACATGACGCTGTTTGAAAATAAATCTGCTTTAAAGACAGCAACTTTCATAGCACAGCATGAAAGTGGATTGGCTTGTGCAGTCTGACTGCAGAAGACATGATCTTCTTATGGACGTTGGGCAAAGTGTTAAGAAAAATGTGATGGAATATAAGAATGTTTACTAACTAAACAATAAAAATCATTCTTTAAAAAAATGTACATATTTATAGACCAATTACTTGCAATGTGGTTTTAATGTACGTTTTGTCACTAGAACACATGAAACTGAGCTATTGGCATCTGCTCTTGCTTTTGATGATGTTTTAATTGATACTGAAAATGTTAAACTGACAAGTATTAACCTTTATCTGTAAGCCAAGAAACAAGTTCAGTTTTTTCCCTTCTGATCATTAAAACAATAGAAGTTACATCCCATTTATTGCAGTTAAACAGAAATTACACAGGCAGAACTTGTGTTTTGAGAGATATGTTAACAGAAACAAATTTGTTAATTTGCTTTTGGTGGAAATAATCTTAATGGTACCTCCACCTTGTCGTGGTGGTAGGGCTTGAGTACCTCAGTGATCCCAAGAGCTATGCTGGCAGTAGCATAGCTACTGGTAGGGCCTCCCTAGCCAGATTGGTCGAGGGGGAGAGGTCAGACTAAGACAGGTACCCTGGTCCTCTAGGTTGGGGGTTGGTCGCAAGGCTAACAACTTTGCACCATAAAAAGGAAGATGTTGCGAAACCTCAATCAAAGCCTCGGACAGACGGACCGAATGGAAGAGGAGAATTGAGGAGGCCATGGACCGAACACGGACCAGAGAGCCATAGAAGAAGAAGAAGAAGGAAATAGTCATAACAGAAGGAATTTTGAAATCAATGAAGTTGGTAAATGTTGTTTAATGAAATAGTGGTTGCTCACTGAGAAAATTATACAGAACCCATAAATACATGATGTGGGCAGAATTCAGTTGGTTGTTAAAGTAGGTGGTACAGGTAGACTTTAAAGGGTTTAAAATATTTGTGTCAGTATTGTTATAATTTCGAAGTATTCAATGTGTATCAAAAAAATGTTTTCTGTGTTTCAACACCACGTAATTCTATTGTCAGTTATCGATAGAGGCACTTGTAGATACCACTTTAAAAATTCAAGTTTAAAGGTGGTTTTGGAGTCTCCTGAAGAATTGAATAATTCAGACATACTTGGTTTTTCTTTCCTTTTGTAATATAAGCTTGAATATGCAAACTTATGATGTACTTACCGCGTTATTATCTACCATAGAATAAACAGCTACAGTCTTGATACCCATTTCTTTTGCTGTTTTGATCACCCTGCAGGCAATTTCTCCTCGATTGGCAATGAGAATCTTTTCAAAGTGACTCTCATTTTGATCAAATGGATCAATGCGAAATGTTGAAGCGTATGAACTTGAAACTGAAATTGATCTGTAGTTTCCATATGATGCATTCTGAAAAAAGATAATCCATTACATTTTCAGAACATATGGCCATGTGAAAATGACCAAATTCAGGCAAACTGATGAAAGTTAAACACCAGCACATGGTATTTTATATTTTCAACCATGTACACGTAAATTATACTTACAAAAAAGCTTTAATTATAACATGAATATATTTTTTTTCTTTTTAAATTTGCTTAGTCCCGACTTGATACATCTGAATAAAATCACTCTTAGAGGTAACATTTGCCACTTGTCCCAAATACAATATCATGAAGGTGTATAGGTGACATGGAGGTAAAGTTCTACACATTCTTGACTGTAGCACTAGGTGGAGGGGTGTGCATTAACCTCAAAAAGAGCAACTATTGATCGGAGTCCTTTTTGGTCAAATAGCCATGGTGGCAAAGAGCAAAATCCTGCCGCACTGGGCATCAGTCCCCCAGCTGTCCAATACTTCAAATGTTGGCATTAGTGGATTACGACCCATCAGTACATGGGTTCGATCGGGACCGAGACATTTAACGCTCCTGCTGTGATCCCTTTTTTTTTTTTGGGAGATGATGATGAAAGTGGAGTAATTGTGGGATGCCATTTTATTATGTATCCTTGCAAGGAAGTTTCATTAGAACTAACCAATCAACGTCAAGAAATTTATTCGATCTGGAATTAAATTAAATCGGACGTAGGTGACCTAAACGAAAACTCCTGGGTCGGGGCAAAATGGTCATCGGGCCCGTACTGACCTTTGCCACACACAGACATGATGATATTGAAATTGCCATATTTAAAATCTGAAAGCATCCACATTCAAAAGTACATTTTTTTGGACATATAGATGTGATTTATTTTTAAGGGTAAATAAACGCTCATTTTAGGGACAGATGCAACCCACGACTTCCTAATTGGCAAACATCCTGTACAACAGAAATACCTTGACTCTGCGATATTATTTGTTCAGTTGTTTTCGACAATAAAGTGACCTTCATAACCTGTATAGTGTTTGAATACAGTCGCTATGCCACGTGTTTACCAAGTTTCTGTTACTCTTAGTATTATTTGATGCCTGCAGATGGCTTCGCCAATCAGAAGGTCGAACCTTGGCATAACTTGCGAGCCTGGGTCAATTCTTTATACGTTCAGTTTATTGTATAAGTGCTCGCAGATTGTGACGAAGGATAACTACCACTGTCGTAAACAGCCGATAGCTATGCTATGTTTCGAAATAAAAATTACAGTATTTTAACTGACGGACGCTATCTTGCGCACATGGAAAGCTTATGTATACGACTAGATTCCCGTTTCATACAACACGCGACCATGTTATGTAATATGATTATGCCTACTGTTTATCTTTAACGCGATGCTTGACTGAAAGTCCTTGGAAGAGATTTAAGTTTAAAAATAAGTGTAAATAGTAATTATTTCAGTCTTAGAAATGTTTCTCGGTGCGAGGGTGTAACGGTAAGAAAACTGTTCATGCACAGATGGTATATTAAAAAATTACAAGCTGCAAGAGGCAGTCTCCTTTCACTTCATAGCTCTTATGCGATCCAAATATTACAAGGAAAGATAGATAAGTTGAATTTTTAAAAGATTTTGGGAAAGTACCTGTAATATTAAGTAAATTTATTGTAGGGGTAATGTGTAATAAATAATCTCTGAGGCTTATCTTATTAAACATTTTAAATACACGTAGCTAAAGGAAGGAACTATACTGTTTTAACGCAGTGAGATTTATTAAGACTGTTTTAAAAATATATATAGCTCCCCTTTCCCGAAATTTCAAGAAGAGATAATTTATTTTACTTTTCTAGCATAATTTCTTTGGGTTTCTTTACTTGTGTATGTTACCAACATCAAAAGATAAACAAATTGTTTCCATCACGAGACATTCATCTACAGCAGTGGTATTCAACCTGGGGTACGCGTACCCCCGGGGGGTACTTGAAATTTAAAAAAATTATATTATTTTATGATAAACACTGAATAATCAGTAATGTAATATATTTAATTTATTTTAGATGTAGATTATATACTACGAGGCGCGTCCCAAAAGTAAGTTTCCCCACTCGTCCCACAGCTAGCAAACCTTATATTGAGCGAAGCGACTGTGCGTACGTGATAGAGCAATGACGTAGCATGGCGCATGCACTAACGGTACTTCCCGCGTTCTCACAGTAGCATCGTTGCAGCTGTTGAAGATGGAGGTTCTTATTCCAGCTCCCGCCGACTGTGAAGTGCGGTCAGTGATAACGCTAGGCCGCACACGGCTCGACAGACAGCAAGTCTCCTGCAGGAGTTCAGCTGGGAGGTGTTTAATCATTCACCCTACAGCCCGGACCTCGCTCCCAGTGATTTCCATCTTTTCCTACACCTCAAGAAATTCCTGTCCGGTCAGCGTCAGCGTCAGCGTTTTGAGAATGAAAGAGAGGCGGAGATGGTTGTCACACAGTGGTTCCAATCCCAGGCGGCAGACTTCTACGACACAGGTATTCAAAAGTTGGTCCCACGGTATGACAAATGTCTCAATTCCGGTGGCGAATATGTTGAAAAATAGCTGGACACTTGCTGTATCTGTCGCAATAAATATTTCCATGAAATTGTGTTTTGTTTCGGTAAACGGCCCCAGGGAAACTTACTTGGGGGACGAGCCTCGTATGTTGTGTGGTTCAGTCAGGTTCACAACTCGCTTATCTGAAATATCATCATCCCATCTCAGTCCTTCAGGTGGTATCTTCCCCATGAGAGTTCCAACGTGTGTACTCGCTGTGTGGGATCTCCCAGTCAAGCACCAACGCCACCGAAAGGTGGATTTAAAATCGATACAATGACAACAAAGTATAAATTACACTGCAAACTTTTACGTAGTATTTCTTGAGCTAAATAACATCGTTCATTTTGTTTTATAAATCAGTAAATCGAAGGACTCACACTGCTCTAATTCTTCAAGAACGACTCATTACTACGATTTAGTTTTAACATTGCCCAATGGTGTGCGAGGTAAGAAGTCAAACATAAATGTCCATACCAACTAAAACTAGGTCCACTCCAAATTCCCTTCGTACGATGTTATCCGTTTCACTTCGTCTGCCCTAACCGCCATTATTCATTAAGTCAAATATTCGCTTTGATATCTTACAATCTAATTATCATCGAGGGACTATTTTAACGTGGCATTAAATTCCTAAATGCATGGAGATAACGAAGCTGTCGCAAAACATTTCTCAAGTAGTGTCAGTACGAATCTAGAACCCTACTAGCAATGTTAATCATTAAGGAACATATTTTGACTGTCAACACCGTGTCGAAATAATGATCACGTTCTCGAGGCGGTGAGTATGAAGAAGACTGTCCTCTGAGTTGTAGCGCCGTGTAATCTGTTAGAAGTTTGCCCACGTTTCAAAAGTGCTTGCTGCCTCCATCATCAGGGCGATAATCGTAAATACAGTCTTCGTCTTTCGTGCGTTATCAGCAAGATAAGCACAAAACAGGCTAATTTCGTACAATCGAAAACATCAACATAACTGAAGCACAAATCTGTGAAGTGGGAGCACCACATAATTTAATAACATGAAATGACAATATGCTTTTTTTAATGCAACTTTAAGGAGAACGTGCAACAATATGACAGCTACATAAAATATGCATTTCAGCTTCCGCTTTAATGTCGATAACTAATTAACCATTGGAGCAAGGCACATGGATTTTGGATGTCAACAGATCGTAAACATACCTACAGAATTCTGTATGAAGTATTACCCATAAATCAGCAATTAAAACACAGTGACGGTACGTATCCGATCATGTTCCACAAAATCGGTAATTAGGTAAAAACTTGTTCCTTCCTATCACCTGCCACATAAAAAAGGTACTTAATAAAAGATTCAGGATATGATCAGTGGCTTCCTCTCGTAAGCACGGTAATAAAACTCAACGTTCCATAATGGGCGAGGAATTTCTTGCCTACTTGAGAATATTATAAGCTCCTCAAAGAGGACTTTGTTCCATGCACTTGGCTAATTTGTCAGATTAACAAATTTACAATCTGACTACTTGCAGCGCGTGACTGAGAAATCTCTTATGATTTATAGTGGCTTCGATAACACAGAATCTTCTCGAATTGCGTTCATTTTACCAGCATAAAATCGCATCTATATTACTGTTATAACTAACTAACTAGATGGCTTACCGAACCCGAAGGTTCATCACCGAATTAACCAAAGCCCTCCACCGGACCCTGTCCTGGGCCAACAAAATCCAGTTTCCTTCAACTCCTATCTCGGATAGATCCCGCCTGAGATTATCCTCCCATCTACGTCTAGGTCTCCCCAGCGGTCTCTTCCCTTCAGGTTTCCCAACCAGTTTATAGGGGAATAAGGATTAGGGTGCGCATTCTTTGCTGTCTCACTTTCTACAGCATCTCCACACAGTAACCCCCCCCCCCCCCCCCCCCAAAAAAAGAGTTATGATGGTGTAGTCATCTGGTAAGGGACGAAGTACCACTATCAAAATTAACTTACATTACATTCAATTGCACATTTTAATTTTGAGGTTGGTGTCTCGATAGTCACACGTAACCAGCGCAGTTGGGTCGAATAATAGACTCATAAATCAATGAGTAGACCAATTACCATTTTTAAACCATGTTAAAATGTCACTGCATGTTAGAACCTTTCTTGTTTTAAACATTCAGGTTGAGAAATACAACGAAACAAATGCAGTAAACCTATTTATCAGCTCTACAGTCCCTGGAATCTTGATTATGGTGGGCCTGAACGTGTGCGTGTGAATCCAACTTGCTTATAATTGCGCAGTCTCCATTACATAGGATTGTAATTGAGCTACAGTGCAAGGTAACCTTTTAAAATTACCTGTTCTTTTTTTTAAAATGCCCTCGAGGCTCAAATAAAAATCCACATAAGAAAGCCACTTCATTAAAATTACATAGAAATATGTTATTCTTAAAAATATGTTTTAACACATACGCAGACGTTTTCCAATGCACGACAAGCACCTCTGATAGCAGCGATATTGCCCATCTCCGCTTCAATGCACGCTAGGCGAAGACCAACATTTTTAC